TTATATTATTTTATATTAATAAAAATTTATTTTTAATTTAAAAATTATATTTGTAATTTTTTCAATTTTATTTATACATGTAAATAAATTATTATATAGTAAACGAATACTTTTGATTGTATATAGAATAACATCTTGATAGTTCATTTATATCTAATTGGAAGTTAACCAATATCACTTGTATTTGAAGAATGTTCAAACTTTTTCATAAATGATTGGTTTTATTATCCGTAATGGAAATCCAATATAAATATTTTGGAAGAATTATTACTTTGAAATATAATATTTTAAATTATTAATATAATAATAATTAACATTAAAAATCTAAAATTATATTAAAATCTATATAGTAATATCATGATACAGATTATGAATACTACAATATTACAAAAAATAAAATAAGTAAATATAATGAGGAATGAAATTAATTGTAAAAATTTATATTAATTATATTATTATGTGATCAATTAAAAGTAATTGTTTTAACAAAAGTAATTGTTTTAACAAAAATTGATAAATATACTAGAAGATAACACATACTGTCGACTTTTATACTGATAATTTCATAATCTACGATATCAAGAAATGAATAATTAACCGATGAATAATTTACCGATTTATTTAATATTTATTTATTTTTAAATATTCAATTAATAAATTTTTAAAAAATAGTATTAGTGATTTTATTAACGTTTTATATTATTTTAAATAAAACGTTATAGAATGTAGATTTAATAATCTATAGTTCCTTAAGAAAATGGAATAAACTATAATCTAAAAATATTTTATAATAACATATACATAGTAAGATTTTTATAATAATGTTGTTATATACATAAATAAAATAAAAAAGATGATAAAAATCTTTGGATAAAAGAAATGTACAAATATTAAATGAAACTTAAAGTATTATTTTATCTTTTAATTAAATATAACTAGATAAATATATAAAATATATAATACATAAAATATATAATATAAAATAAATACATAAAATATGTTGTAAGATGTTTATTTAAAATAATATATTCGAATAATAAAATTGAATAAAGAAGCTATATTAAATGAAATACACTTGTGATATTCTTAATATAAGTTAAATTCATGTTATCTATTTTTTCATTTCTATAAATTATTTGAAACAATAATATTGAAAAAGTTTTTTCTTGATTTTTAAACTGATTCAGAACAGAATTCCTGAACACATTGCTTCTGCTGCATTACACATACATGCACGCATGCACACACATGCATGCACATATATATAAATATTATATAATTATAAATATAAATAAAAAATATAAATATAAATATAAATTATTAAATACATTTATATTTATGTTTGTATTAAATTAGTCATAGTTTTTGTACAAACCTTGTTGCAGTTTTGTTCAGCGAATTTAATACCCGCCTAATTACATTTTATGTATTCTTCTATTTTACTTTCTATATTTGTTTATGTGCACATTAAAAACATTATTTGGTTTAGCAAATATGATAAAGAATTAAATAAAAATATTGACAGACTTCAATTTTATTGTCCTTTAGTGAATATCTAAAATAAATTGTTAATTATTTAATTATGAGGACTTTATATAAACAGATTTTTATATTTTTATATATATAAATAATATAATATAAATAAAATAAAATAGTATTTATATATTCCAAACAATAATGATTAAAATAAAGAAAAAAAAAGAATATAAATAGAATATATAAAAAATAATATAAAATATTTATATTATTGAATGAAAA